GGCTAAAATATGTGGCGTAAGTATTAAAACTAAGGTTGTTAAAGATGAGAGGTGCAGTCTGGGCTAAAATATGTGGCGTAAGTATTAAAACTAAGGTTGTTAAAGATGAGAGGTGCAGTCTTGGCTAAAATATGTGGCGTAAGTATTAAAACTAAGTTTGTTGAAGATGAGAGGTGCAGTCTGGGCTAAAATATGTGGCGTAAGTATTAAAACTAAGTTTGTTGAAGATGCGCGGTGCAGTCTGGGCTAAAATATGTGGCGTAGGTATTAAAACTAAGTTTGTTGAAGATGAGAGGTGCAGTCTGGGCTAAAATATGAGGCAAAATATGTGGCGTAAGTATTAAAACTAAGTTTGTTGAAGATGAGCGGTGCAGTCTGGGCTAAAATATGTGGCGTAAGTATTAAAACTAAGTTTTTTGAAAATGCGCCATGTGGACGGGGTTCAGTAGCCGGTGCGAATTCAACGCTGATTATTTACGCCTTCAAAGCGGTAGTGACGTATGTAAGGCCAAAAGTTTACCGGAAAAAATGCGTAGGTCCCCCTGCATCTTCCTCTACTACACATATCTTTTAAGAAAGTTCTGCAAATATTAACCGTTATGATAACATTTTTGATGCGTTAAATATTGGTATTATAAAGGAAGACATTTCTATAATTAGAATAACATAATCCCTTTCTCATCTTTAAAAAAAAAAATAAAAATAAATAAATAATGGGAAATAATCCAGTAATTTCTGTTTAACTAAACATGTGATAGTAAACTTGATTTGGTCCCTTTGTGTATCTGAAATAAGCAAAGTGAGTTGGTAATATATTAGTTAGATTTGAAGCCATTACTCAACTTCTGTGAGTTCTGCTATACTATAGGAATATGAACACGCATGTAGTGTCTTGAAGTAATGCTCGACACGCTACCGCACTGATGGAGGACATGGAACATCGGACCAGTCTTGAAGTAATGCTAAACATGTTACCGCACTGATGGAGGACATGGAACATCGGACCAGTCTTGAAGTAATGCTAAACATGTTACCGCACTGATGGAGGACATGGAACATCGGACCAGTCTTGAAAAGTTGAAGTTATCAAACCACATGCTGCTCCATTAGACTACGTCACACGGGTTTGTTTGACCTGTAGTTATAAACAAATTCACCGCCCAAAGCTGTTTCCCAATGCCGCACTGCTTACTTTGACCACTTCGATCCACATTTGACCAAGTACAACAGATAATGTTGTGCCATTCAAAGTACTGATATAATGTTATATTAAAATTTTTTAATGAAAAATGTTCATTATTTTGATTTGCCCCCCCCCCCCATAGTTTGTTTTTAAAAACCTAGTCGCAGCTGTCTAATGCGCACCGAGGAGTGCACACAATAAAAACTCCAAGTTGATCGATGCACCGTCAGGAACTTGTTGAATACATAATTTAAAAAAAAAAAACAAACAACTTAAAACTGATTTCGCGATCTCCGCCATTCTCTTTGCCAATTTGTTGAAGTGAAGCGTACAAATAATCTCTAACTTTTTCCATTGCAAAGCCAGACGTATAAATTCAATTGGATTACCATTCGGCTCCTACCATTCTATTTTCAATGCGAGACAGCAAGGGACGGACTCATAAGAATTCACTCCATTATAATAAGTGTCAATAAGTCAATAAACTAACTGCAGCTGAAGTCGATTAGTAAGATGTGTTGAACCCTGTGTGTTAATCTATTGTGCATGTCACTTATAGTGGCGAACCTAGTCACACATCAAGCGTCTCTGAAGGGTAGCATGACGCAATTTCCCCTTCTTCTCCTAATAGTCACGTGATCTTTGGGAAATAATTTTTTTATAAAAAATGATGGCTGCGGCTATTCGGACCCGGGTCCGAGATGTGAGAGTTTGGGTTTATTTAAAAAAATATTTAAAAATTATTGTAAGGTTTGTAAGACAAAATTGTGTATAAAATGAAAGATAATTGAATGGACTATATGTTTGTAAACTTACTTCTTCATTCTTCATTCGGGCTGTGTGTACAGAGTCACATTAGGGGTGTTACACAGAGTCACATTTGGGGTGTGTACGCAGAGTACAATTTTTACAAATAACAATGCGCGCGACAATGCTGTAAAAGTTGTAGACAAAAGCCTTTCTTTAAGTTATTCTGAAGATCACATTTAAAATTTCAATTCTGGAGATATTTTAAACTGGTTCACGTTTCACCACAATGAGTACATCTTGAATGGATCTCAACTGCTGTAACTAGCTAATAATCAACAACACCACCACACAAGACCTTATGCTCTCAACTAGCGGGTCATATTTTATGAGGCTGTATTTTTAAAATATGTTTTCATGGACTTAAGCCAACGCGTTCTTCTTGTACCCATTTTAACCTGGAGGTCACAAGTCGGATACGTCATAAGGCCTTCCAAAGCTATCAGGTTTGGCCAAGTCTGAGTTTTCTATACTAGGCATGGTCCAGTCAGAGTTTTCTACGACATATGTCCAGTCAGAGTTTTCTACTACACATGTCCATTCAGAGTTTTTTTTAATTAGACATGGCCCAGTCAGAGTTTTCTATTAGACATGGTCCAGTCAGAGTTTTCTATTAGACATGGTCCAGTCTGAGTTTTCTACTACATATGTCCAGTCAGAGATTTCTATTAGACATGGCTAAGTCGGAATTTTCTATTAGACATGGTCCAGTCAGAGTTTTCTATTAGACATGGTCCAGTCAGAGTTTTCTATTAGACATGGTCCAGTCAGAGTTTTCTATTAGACATGGTCCAGTCAGAGTTTTCTATTAGGCATGGCCCAGTCAGAGTTTTCTATTAGACATGGTCCAGTCAGAGTTTTCTATTAGACATGGTCCAGTCAGAGTTTTCTATTAGACATGGTCCAGTCTGAGTTTTCTATTAGACATGGTCCAGTCAGAGTTTTCTATTAGACATGGTCCAGTCAGAGTTTTCTATTAGGCATGGTCCAGTCAGAGTTTTCTATTAGACATGGTCCAGTCAGAGTTTTCTATACTAGGCATGGTCCAGTCAGAGTTTTCTATTAGACATGGTCTAGTCAGAGTTTTCTATTAGACATTGTCCAGTCAGAGTTTTCTATTAGACATGGTCCAGTCAGAGTTTTCTATTAGGCATGGCCCAGTCAGAGTTTTCTATTAGACATGGTCCAGTCAGAGTTTTCTATTAGGCGTGGCCCAGTCAGAGTTTTCTATTAGACATGGTCCAGTCAGAGTTTTCTATACTAGGCATGGTCCAGTCAGAGTTTTCTATTAGACATGGTCCAGTCAGAGTTTTCTATACTAGGCATGGTCCAGTCAGAGTTTTCTATTAGAC